ACAAAAAAAAAGTGACAACTTAAGACATTTCAGAGTGTCAAAATGGATACTGAATATCATCAGAAAGCTAAAAACATTTCTATAACTATATATAAGCTACATTGCTCTAAACATAGAGCAACATTTGAATCGTGACTGAATGATTTAAAGGAAAACTGTATCACCAGTCCTAGTGGAGGGACAAATCTGTCTCCAAAGGACTAAATAATAATGTTCACTTTGATGAGGATTGAGGTGACTGTGGTTTATTAATTAGGAAAGAACAGGAGAATTCAGCTTAGCTGTGCTCAGCTCCTAAATAAGAACCTTAGCTGGAGCAGAACCCATGGGAACACAGACACTCGTCTCACTCCAGTTGGCCCAACAGAAGGTGAGGAAGTGATGGTGGAAGTGTGGAGAACAAAGAAGAGGAAGGTAGAAAGGGAACTAAAGAAAAATGATTAGAATTGATCCCACAAACCTCGTCTTCCCCTTCCCTCTTCGACAGACGAGTGGCGAGGAAGCGTTGGCTTCCAGTCCGGTTCGGGGCGAGTCCTGCGTGGCGAGGAAGCGTTGGCTTCCAGTCCGATTCGGGGCGAGTCCTGCGTCCATCCTCAGAGGGGGCTTTCATTAGCCCAGGCCTCTTGTCCACTTCAGCATTCAGTCTTCCATGTCGGATATCATCTCCTTGCCAGGCCAGATTAGATTTCCAGTCCTCTGTCCCAACAGACCAACCACTTCTCCTGCCTTCATCCTGATTGGAGGCCCGGGGGCCCAATGCTCCGCGATGATCCCCGTCAGAAGGGGCACGACCTCTGCGGTCATCGGGTTGTGGCAGCCAGACAGGGTTGACTCTAAATTCGGATTCAGAGGGCGAGTGAATCTGCTCTAGCCCCAGACGTCCACCAACTCCTACAGGCAGAGTGTGACCATTCTTCACATAAGGTGTCTTGTGGCCATGGGCCTCACCTGATACTGAAAACAAATGGGGAAAAATTACATATACAATTTTTATTTTTAATGCATTAG